GTGTGTGTGTGTGTGTGTGTGTGTGTGTGTGTGTGTGTGTGTGTGTGTGGTGTGTGTGTGTGTGTGTGTGTGTTTGTGTGTGGTGTGTGTATGTGGTGTAGNGTTTTTGAGTGTGATTGTGTGTGTGTTTGCGTGTGTGTGTATTTATGTGTGCTTGTAAATGAAGTGGAGTGTAAGCGCTGTGCATGTATATAGCTGGTTGTTCTACAACAAGACTCATTGCAATTTCCACACGTGTATATATATATGTTTCAGAACTCTTTAATCAACCAATGGGATACCACAATATGTCGTACGGTTGCTCATACTACGGTATTGGTCACAGTAGCACTTATCAGACTCAAACAAAATAGACTGTCGTCCCTCAAGCACTTCGGGTAACATTGGCACGTTTCCTCCCAACTCGAGGTACATTCTCCCTTTGTTAAGCTAACGGCACACGCCTTTTCATGTCGATTTACATATTTCTAACCAATTCCACACGTCTCTTCAGACAGATTTCATACTAACTCAGTGCTGCTGCGTGACAACTTCACGTATTTATATGTGGTGGATTTATACGTTTTTACTGGATCACTCAGGCACATTGTCAGGCACTTCTCTATATTTTTCTAAATTATTTACACGCTTTTGAGATACCACACAATTCATAGGCGCACTCTGCATGCTGTTTTCTCCATTGTCGTCGGCTCAGACATAATTATATAGGATACTTGATCTGTTTATTATTTATACTGAAATGCATTCATAAAAATATACTTACCGCTCGTGGTGATTGGAACCCTTCTTCTTCATCGTCTAAGGTGATACTGATACCTGCGGAGCCGGCCATGCCTGAATCGTGCTCTGTTGCCAAACTCCTGCAGGTGTATATGTATATAAAACATAAGCGTGTCAGAATATGCGAGTGTATACATCTTTGCACGACCTGTAGATATACAAAGTGCTGCATCCACCACCATGCATCGGTGAACGTATATCCATCTGCATGTGTGTATGTATGTACAACTCTTCTGTATGTGCATGTGCTTGCCAATATCCATTGATACTCCATATGATTATCGATAGGTAACAACTCAAGCAATGTGTTTTAACCACAAGACGCTGGACATAATACACCCGCTATACAAAGATCACTTTTCCTCACCCTCTCATGACTTGCTCTCGTGCAAGGGGTGTCTCGCATTGTCATCTGCATCTGGCACGCACATATACACTCTCACACAAACTATGAAACACTTTCATAGAGTTACAATGGCATAGAAACCAGAGACTATGAGTGCACGATACGTTGCTGGGTACATACGTCTGGTGCACTGACAATAGATTGCTTACAAGTGCGAGTGTAGAGGATGCAAATTTGTGAAAACATATAAGGCAGACTGAAACGACGAAGGAGCTATAGTCGCACTCGCACACAATGTATAAGCTCTCACACATGTAAAGACGAGAACAACATGGATCTATGTACACCAAGTAGGTAACCGCAACTCGGCTTCGACCGATAGATCGCTCAATAAAAAGAATCACTCAGAACCTACACAGACAACACAGGCATGCAGGCTGACAAACTCGGAGACGACAGTATAGACCATCCCACAATGACGGTAACACACTTAGAAGCTGTCAAATGACCTCTTAAACTATGATAGAGTCTGTGACGAGAAGAATTGTTGTAAACACAGCCTGCAGTTGACAACAATTCGTCCTCGACCAGAAGTAAGCTAGCAGTCAGAGCCACCACATAAAAAATTATTACAGACGAAACATTAAGCAGGCTAATATGTATGGTATCCACAGCAACGTTGAGCTTACTATGCTCAGTCGCAACAACAAGCACAACTACACACTAATAGGAAATGTAACCAATACCAGAAGCGTATCCCACACTAATTGAGCCATAGAGCTCGCGCACTCAAAGAGGAGGAGGCCAATGATGGTGAACTAAACACACCCTGTGGACGACATCAATGCATCCTCGACCAATGGGGAGCTCGTATCTAATGACATATCCAAGTGGCCAGCGCTTGATGAGGGCGGGCCCAGGCTTCCCGCGCTATTCCGCTGATAAAATGAACCGATAGGAAACCCTCTATAAATAGACTGATTTGAAAGATATATGTGCATACCCTAAGAATTAGGGTCGTCCTCGGACAGACACGTCATTAAGGGGCTATTATATTGCAAACAAGTCTCAAATAGCGTGAGTAAGATACTCAATGTACCGTGCGAATCGATGTTTATTTCCAGTTTGGGTTCCAAACACTAATTAGAGACAAAATGATTTAATTCATGTCATTTGGCAGAGACAACCTGATTTGTCATCAAAATAGTCTTCAACTTCCCAGATATAGACGAATGACACAGATGACAGCCAGAATTCTCACATACATTAACTTCTGAACTTCGACATATTGAAATACCCATGTATCCAGGTTGACAAATGCATGCGGATTGCTAGAAAGAAGCAGTAAAAATAAACTGTTGGTTGACAAAGAAATGGAGCAAGCGTCGTGTGTCCTGTCTGACTACAACCCTGCATAAGATCCAAATTGTGATATGAAATGGAGTAGTATTCAGGGGCACATAACACACACACGTATCCCAGAATTGCTCACAGCCCGATATCGTTAACCCATATCATACTCATACAAGTACGATGAATTACTTCGAAATCACATACCTCTATACCAACAGTATTTCCATATTTCCCGCCTGTGGTGTACATTAGGATCAAATCAGTTTATTAGCATTGACTATTAGGTCTTGAATATGTATCCCAAGCATAGACTCATAAAATGCATATCTGAGACACACGTTGTACTCCAGCATTTAAAAATTATGTCTCATGGCATGTCTCCGTCAATACAAAATACATATACACTATCCGCAGGGATGAAATGTCAACGTATCAACCATTAGCATAAAATATTACACAAACTCGCAGGCGCAAGTACAAATATCAATTTGAGTGTGTTGGTGCAAACTATATATAAATAAATATATATAAAT